GCACCGGCTGTTGCGCTCACTTGAGGAGTAAATCATAGGACGGAAGATCTTTGTCACTGTCTCTCCTCCTCTCTGTATATCTGACTTTCCAATAAATCTAAAAAAAAAAAAAAAGAATTAAGAGACACTGCTAAAAGGCCAAATATAAGAGTCAAGGGAGTTCCAGGAAGCCCAAAAAGAGAAGCTGAGCTTAAAGATGTATTCTATGAAATATTGAATGAAAACTTGCCTGCTCTGGAAAAGAATTGGGAAGCAATATACAGGAGGGATACAGAACTCTCAATAGGATTGACCAGAAGAGATCATCGCGATGACACATGATAAGCTGTCTTCAGTTGAACATACGGAAAAGATCCTGAAATACGCATGTGGAAAAAAATCAATTAACATTTAGAGGAGCCCCAGTCAGACTCACAGCTGACCTCTCAGAGGAAACTATAAGCTAGAAGAGAATGGACTGACGTACTGCAAATTTTAAAGTGAAAAAATTATTAGCCCAGAATAAATTATCTAACAGAGTTTTCCTTTGTCTTTGAAAATGAAATAAAATTCTTCCACAGTAAAGCTCAAAGAATATGCTTCTTCCAGACCTCCCCTACAAATGATACTTACAGATGTTCTCTTGACAGAGAAAAGGAATAGCACTCACCAAAACCGAAGCCAAATATAAAGAACATCTCACTAAAATGACAACAGAAAATAAACAATGAACAACCCATTACTAAAATGACAGAACCAAATTACCACCTATTCTTATCAACTCTGAACATAAATGCTTAAATTCATCAGTCAGATGTCATAGATTAGTGAACCAAAACAAAAATCAAAACCCATATTATGTATTGCCTACAGGAGATACTTCTCACCGACAAAGATCAGCACTATATATATATATATCATGGATTTCAATGTTTTTGTTTCTACTTTCATTTCTTTAGAAGTTTTTTTTTTCTTGTTCAATTCTTCACTGACTCATAAGCCATACAATAGCAACATTTTGTTCAAGAAGGTTCTTGATTTTCTTTTTCATTTCTTCACCGATACATTAGTCATTCAGTAGCGTGTTATTTAACTTCATGGCATTTTAAATTTCTGTTTTTCTTCCCGTTATTGATTTTGTTTTGTGGCTTTTTGTTTAAAGGGACGTGTAGTTACTGTGTAATAGAGACTATCATATCCAGATGTGAGTATACAATGCAGTATGCATCTCCACTTCTATCAAAGATGGACTCCCAATGAAACGGTGAAATATCCTGACAATAGGATGCTGGACACTGCCATTGTCCATGCCCACAGTGTTAGGATACACTTAAACAGCAGAATGATGGGTTTATGAAGAATTATACTATTGTAATAATAGAGGGGAAATCAGAGGTGGGGGGTGGCTTGGGGAAGAGGAAAGAGATCCCAGAACCTATGCAATTATATCATAAAATAATAGTAAAATGGGGGGGAAAAAAAGCTAACCCAACAGGATTGGACCAGGCCCCAGCTCTGTCACAAATTATGCTGGCCTTCTGCACTTTGATGCCCTCATCTGTCAGGAGTAAATGTACAGCTTACAGGGTGATTCTGAAGTTAGTAAGTAAATGAAAAAATTTTCCAGGTGGTAACACCCTACTCAGTTCCGTGTAGTGCAGTATTCTCACCAGGAGCCCGGCCGGCCAGCAAGTGGCTGCTGAGTGACACCAGGCAAAACAGATGTTTCTCAACTCAGACTGCATTTTCAGGCTCACTGGACTTCTCTTAGAAGAAAGGTGGATGTGAGGTTCCCCACATGAAACATTTTTCCACAGGCATAACACACTTTGCGAAGTGCAGGCTAGGCATATGGATAATGGCATACATTTGCTGCGAGACACTGTGTACCGGGCTGTGTAGCAAGCCCCTCTGTCATAGTGTCTCATGTAATCCTTGCAGCAGCCTGTGAAGCAGGTGCTATTACTGTGTCCAGGTGCTTGGCACAGAGGGATTGGGTAAATTGCCTGAGATTGCATTTTGTAAGTTCAGAGCTGCAGTTCCAGTACAAGTGTTCTGGCTCCAGGTCTCACTTATATAGCAGCCTTATTCTGATACCTTCACTACATATTTATTGGCTGGTATTACTGTTGCCATTGTTACTATTCCACAAACAAAGATAATACTAGTGTCATGTATTTTGCTGATTCAGTAAGCATTTGTCAAGCATATGCTTATGGCCCAGCACAGTGCGGCTCTGAGGATTGAAGTGGGAAGACGTTGGTCACACTTGCTGTTCTTGCTGAGCTTTTTGTCTGATGGGGAAACAGTCCAGTAGGCAGGTGGGTCCAACAGAGTGTCATAAATACTGTCATCAGGAGAAGCACAAATTGCTAGGGGAGCTCTTAGCCACAGAAATGGTCTCAGGCTGAGGCAGTATCACTGGAGGAAGTGACTTCTCACCAGAAACTGGAAACTGAAGCAGAGTTGACCAGCCAAAGTTGTGGGAGAGGGGAAGAATGTTCCAGACCTTGGGAGAGTAGGATGGTGGTGGTAAGAAGCACAAGAGCTCAGAGAGGAGCAGGACTCCTGCTCGTGGGCATCCTGTGGTAGCTGACACAAGGACCAGAGTGGCCCCAGCTATGGCCCTCGAGTTCCCCTGCTTCTGTGGTGAGCAGCCTGGGAGTAGCTTGCTTGCTGCACTGGAGACTGGTAACTATTTGCTCAGTGCTCTAAAGTTTGCCTTGGAGTGTTAATTCCCTGAAGTCAGAAGCCACCACTGCATCAGTACTCATTAAGTGGCATTTGTTGAATTTCTTTGCAAAATGAATTGGGCTGTACTGGCCTTCTTGAGCCAGCTATCACTTTTCCTCAGGTTCATCACATCCTGTGTGGCAGTTCAGGGGGTCTGAGGGACTTTGAGGTGCTGTGCTCTGAATTCCTTTTCAGCTCTTCATTGTCCTGTTCTTTTCCTTCCTGGCCTGGCCAGTGCATGATTATAATCAGTCTGCTTGACTCTAAGGTGTTGTCCTCAGCCACTTTCTTCTGTAATCCTAATCTGCTGTGGTCCCGGTATGATGTAATAAGACTTGCTGTGACTGTGGGTTAGGGGGTCTCCGAAAAAACATGTGGATACCATTGCAGTGGGATGATGCGGTTAGTTGCTCAGAAGCAAAGGTCATACAGTGCTAGGGGCGGGGGCGGGGGCGGAGCCGGGTTTAGGAGTCATCAGCCTGGAGTGGGAGAGCCTGCTGACCATGGATTTGGTAGACCATGGAGAGTGTGGTCCTGTCCTCCAGCTACCCACTACTGTAACCTCGCTTTCTCAAATGTTTAGTGAAGTACTTCCACCCCAGCCAGCTGCAAGCCTCAGGCAAGTTCCACAAAGAGTGCTTGCCACTTCCCTGAGCAAGGCAGGCAGATGAGTTCAAGCCAGAACTGAGCACAGAGCATCTGGGCCCTCCTGTCTCAGAGTTCTGGTTCTCTCCTTTGCACAGTGAAGTAGCATGACAGGTTCAAAGGAATGTGAGGCCTCGGATTGGACCTAGCTTCTAATCTTTGCTTAGCCAGTTACTAATTGCATGACATTTTAGCTTCAGTGTCCTCAACTGTCACGTGGGGAAAAAATCCCACTGTGTTGTATAGTTATGAGAATCAGATTAGTTGTGCCAAGTGACCGTGCCAACTATGTCAATAAATGCGATCGGTTAGGAGAAGGAAAGATGACAGTCTTACGGCATTTTCAGTCTAGCAGGAGGAGAAACACAAGCTGCATCCCAAGACCACCTGAAAAAGTAGGTTAGAAATTGTTGTTGTTGTTTGGCTTTTGACTCCCTAGGCAAGGCCACCTCTTACCTTAATACATCCCATTTCCAGTGAAAGGCAAGACATAACCGAGGGACAGAGGGAACATAGGATTCAAGTCAGCTGAACACCACTTATAGGGAAGAGCACACAGTGATACAAGGCAGAAAGAAACTCATCAACAGGGCAGGATAGACGCTGGTCTTTGTGATCTCATTTTCCATGGAGCGGGGAAGCCTCATAGGTGGGTTGCTTTGCAGTTTATTGTCCAAATTGGGAATAGCCAGAATAACAGGTGTAAGTCAGAGTGGACAGGAAGATGTGTGATTACCCAACCCAGAGAGTTGTAAAAGTAACGAACTGGTTTTAGATTATCTCTTATCAAGCTAGAAAGAGATAATCAAGAAAACTGATGGTAGAGTGAGCCTTGGGCTTTGGTTTCTTGATCACATGAAATGTTTGTTCCTTTTCCTTTCTAACAATGTTTAACAGGTAAGATAGATTAGAACATTATATAGTCAGTAAATTCCAGTTGTGTAGGACACAAACACACACGCAGATACACATGAAGCTCTGGAGTGTGTGTATGAAATCTGGAAGGAAAAAAAGGAATCTGAAAGGAGACACATCAAAGTTTTCCAAGTTGCAGAGAAAATGGTCCCTTGCACTTTTCTGTAATTTCAAATTTTAATTGATTTTATGATTTCCAAAAGTCTTTAGAAATTAGAATTTAATAACCAGACTGCACATCTTCAGAGCAGGAAGATAGGTTATTCTCCAGATAGCTTCCTTGAGCTAGCACTGCTCCGCTCTGCCCTCCCCAGCCTTCTTCATCTCTGGGATGTTCTCTTCATGTTCAAGTTGAGCCAGGCTCCCCTGTGGCTTTCCATATCACCCTTTTACACTGCTAGCATAGCATTTATCTCAAACAGTACTATAGACATCTGCTTATTGTCTGCTTCCCTTTTCAGATTAGGTCAGGGACCATGTCTGATTCATTTTATGGCTCCAAGATGAATCCTAACACATAACAGATGTCAGTAAACTTTTGTGAACTCACTGGCCTGCTCCCCTTCTTCTTGCTAGCACAGATGGCCAAGCACATAGTAGGTGTCAATTAATGTTTAGTAAGTACAAAGATGGGTGGGCAAGTGAATTAAATGCCTAGAGAAAGCAGCTAAGATTAGTGACTTATATATTTGCTGCTAATGGAAGGCTTTGTGTTGTTGTTCCTGCAGTTCTGGTCACCCGAGAGGATGACTTCAACAACCGGCTCAACAACCGTGCTAGCTTCAAGGGCTGCACGGCCCTGCACTACGCCGTCCTTGCCGATGACTACCGCACTGTCAAGGAACTGCTTGATGGAGGTGAGAGCAGGGTGGGTAGGGTGGAAGAGGGGGCTGGCCCAAGAGAAGGTACTTGGCAGCCTTTCCGCTCTAGTACCTCACCTCCTAGGGCCCGTTATCCTCTCACAGCTGGAAAGGCCTCGAGAGTGGCTGCACTTCTGCACAGTGGCAGTGTGCATGTGAGATTTACTGTCCTGCGGCTGGTGTGTGTTCTTAGTATGTGCAGGATACACCACACAACACTGTCTATCAGCATGTGCTGGGAGAGTTTTCTTGATTGCTGCTCTCCCCAGAAGAGTCCTGCCTTCCTCCGCTGTAGTCCCCAGAACAGACCAAGGGAGAAAAGGACAGGTACTTCCAGTCCCTGCTGAGCCAGTAGTAAAAACTGGATGGAGGTACTTCCCAGGAACTTCCAATCCTAACACCTTCTGTCAACCTCATTTACACTGGTTTAAAATCCAGGCCTCACCTATACCCTCTGCCTGCAAGGGCCTTTCCCAGAGCTGCCTGATAGGCGTCAGTGCTGTGAAGGGCAGTGCTACCTGACCATATGCTGCTCGTGCCTGGGATGAGTGATGCTTTTGGAGTGATGATTCAGTGTTTGCAGAAAGAGAGGCTTGGAGAACATCCCCTGGCAGCATGCTTCTTACCTTTTTCTTTGTGGTTAAGCGTTGGAGTGTGTAGCAAGGATTTCTTTCTGCCGTGCTTTAAAATCAAGCAATGTTCCCACCCTTTGTCCAGTAGTTTACATTTCTACTGCTCCCAACCCCCAAACAGCAGAGGACTAGCTCTGTGAGGAGCCCCTCTCCCTAGCCTTGCAGATCGAACACCTTTGAAATGGAGAGGAGAGGTCTTTGTATGAGGCTCCCTGCACCCTGCCCCCCAGGCCAGGGCTGGCCCTTTGAGCCATTCCAGGGCCATGATTCCTGCCCACTGACTTGGAACAGATGCCCTGAGCCCCCACCTTTATATTTCTCCCACCTGCCTTTTTAACCACTATCCATTATACTCCCTACCCTACCCTCCCAGCTGCGAGGGCCAAAACCATTAACCCACTTACTTCTCCCTCCCAGACCTGAACAAGTTGCCATCATTCAGGGCCCTTCAGGCCTGCTAACTTCTGACCTCCCTCCCCCCTTGACCTCCCTTGGTCTGCCTGTGTATGTGACCAGCCAACCGAGAGGCAGGATCCTGCGCTCTTGTGCTAGGGGCTGTCTCCAGGAACACATCCACAGTCTTTTGACCTCGTCTGACCTCCAGAAGATTTGCCTTCCTGCTCATCTAGCTTTCTGGACTTCTACTTGCCACCAGCTTTGCTGCAGCCACTTAGAGGGAAACTATATCCATGTGAGCCAAGGCAGGCCTGGATACAGGCCAGCCATGCTTTAAGGTCCTTATTGAACCCTTTTCCTTGAACTTGCTCAGGCTGCAGCATCCAGGGTCCCTGTGTGTTAGAAGATTACAATGCAAGGAGGCAGCACTTCTTGCTTTTTTAACAGAAGCCCCCGCTGAGCAGGGGCCACAGCTCCAGCAGCAGCATCCTGCTGTTAGGGTGTAAGAAGCTCGCTGGCCCATTAGGAGGCAGCATGGAGTAACAGAAAGAGCATCTCAAGTGTCAAAGTCTGGCCAATCTGGGCTTGAATGCTTATCCCACTGCCTAGCTGTGTTACCGTGGATGTGTTCCCTTCACTGGGAGCCTTCGTTTTCTTGCCCCTACTTTACAGGGATGGCATGAGGATCAGCAGTGCTGTCTGTGATGTCCCTGGCAGGTGTGTGGTGCATGGGAGGGAGTTACTGTCTGAACTACCCTCCCTGCAGCTCAGACCCCTTTCCCTCCCAACCTGGAGCCTGCACTCCTACCCAAAGACCTCTTGACTGCCTGCCTGCACCACCCCCATGTCCCCTCCTCTTGCCTGAATTCTCAGACTCTTGAAGAGCTCCTTCCCTCAGGAAGCCTTCCCAGATTGAGTAGCTGTGCTACTCCCCCTGAGCTTTCACTGTGCTAGGGCTTTTCATTCTGGAAGGGGCCGCTTCTGCTGTGTTGGAAGGCTGTGCCTTGGTCCTCACTCAGGGAACTTTACCAGCACATTGCTCTCTAGAATGTGACCCCACTGGCAGGTCCACCTTCATAAGTTCTGGCAGCCCTTCCCAAACAGAGGTCCATCAGGGAGGCATTTGAGGCCTCATGCATCCAATGTACACAGGAATTAGCATCTCTGCCAGACAGCTAAAGTGCTCCTAGGTCTATACACCACTTTTGGGACCATTAAGGAAGTCATGACTCAGGTCATTTGCTATGGGTAGTTCAAGGGAGAAATCCCAACTGAGAATGGCCACGGAGATGAACAGAGAGTCAGGTCTGGAGTTGGAATCTTAATCCCAGCCCTGCACTTGATTGCTGTGTGATCCTGAGCAAATGACTAATGACTCCAAGTGTTTCCTGGCAGTGAGAGATGCCACCTGCCTTTTGAGTTTTGTAAGGACTCACACATGTATGGCTCTTCACACTAAGCACTTCATTATTTTCCAAAACAATCTGCTTTGGGGCCAGCTTTGTGGCACAGTAGGTTAAGCTGCTGCTTATAACACTGGTATCTTATACTAGACCACCAAAGTCCCAGATGCTCCACTTTGAATCTAGCTCCCTGCTAATGCACTTAGGAAAGCAGCAGAGGATGGCCCAACCGCATGGGATATGCAGATGGAGTTCCTGGCTGGCTCTTGGCTGGACCAACCCCAGCCCATTGCAGCCATTGCAGCTGTTTAGGAAGTGAACCAACGGATGGACAATCTTCCTCCCTGCCGTTCTCTCACTCTCCTCTCTGTTTTCTCCTGTCTTCTCACTCCTCTACCACCTCCTCCCTTTTCCTCTCCCTCCTTTTCTCTCTCCTCTCTCTCCCCTCTCTCTGTCACATAAGCAACTCTTTAAAAAAATGCGAAGCTCAGCACTTATTTTTCTCCACCCTCCATCTTTTTATTTGAAAGAAATAGTTTGCTTCCTCTGACCTACCACCCATATGCCTGCGGTGGCCAAGGGGAGCCAGAACCAGGAGTCAGGAACTCGGGCCAGGATTCCCACATGGGTGGCAAGACATCAGCTGCTTGAACCGTCACGTGCTACTTCCTGAGGTGCACACCAGCAGGGAGCTGGATTTGGGAGCCAGGGCCAAGCCAGACATGAAGCCCACACATTCTGATGTGGGACGCAGTATCCCAGCCTGCGGCATAACTGCTGGGCCAGACACCTGCCCCCATTTGAATTTCTTAACCCAGCTGGAGAGGAGCTCCAGCCTGCTCCTCACCTAGCATTCTTCCTTGGCTGCCCCAGCACTCCGACAGTACTATAGCGGCATCCAGTGTTCCACTTGGTACATGTACTCTGGTGTTCTTTGAGCCTCTCATTTCCTTTCAAGACTTCTCTCAGTCTGGACTCTCTCCAGTCTGGACTCTCTCCAGTCAGTCTGCACCTCTCATGCTGCCTTCCTTCTGTACCTTCCACTCCCAGGCATGAGGTCCAGGCTCTTGGATTAGATAGACTAGGGTAAATTAAAGGCCAGAACTGTGCTTTTTGGTTTCTATCTCTTTACAACATAGTTTAGCACACTGTGCTGCACTGATTAATCTCCAAAACCACCCAGAGGCTTTCTCTTGGTTCACAAGTTCTTTGCCCCTCGGCACACTGTGAGGGCCCCACTGGGTCTGCCTGCTTCAAACTGCCTAGATTATGGTCTGGCCATCTTTTGGTAGTCACGGTGCTACTTGCTTTTCACCCACCAGTGCTCACCTCAGAAAACTAGGGCTTTCAGAAACCTAACCTTCATGGCTTCTTTCCACTGTATCCAAGAAGAGGGCCCAGTTGTCAGTGTTAACCAGCCGGATGCAGAGAGACTTAAATTCCTTTACGTCCCGCCTGAGGCAAAGAGCCTTTGCAGCACAGCCAGCCTCGCTCAGCAGCCTGTCAACTAGCCATCAGGACCCAACCCCAAGCCGCATTCCTTGTTCCACTTCACTGTCTGACCATCTGGCCATTCAGGCAGACATGAACCAATCAGCTTTGTCTCTGGATGTCCTCCACTGAAACTTGTCAGATTCTTGCCTCTGGCATGTGGAGGAGGAGGCTGAGCTGTGGCCTGAAGCTGGACACCTGACTCTTTTACCAACCACTTCTTTCCTCATTGGGCAAACCTCTCTCTTATTCCGTAAAACAGAAGTCAGGGTAGTGCATCCCAAGAACTTCTTCCAGCCTCAGCTACTCCGGGCAAGGCTTTTCTTTCATGTGTCCAACACTTACCAAGCATCCCTCCTGTCACAGGTCCCACCCTTGGCACCAGGAAGATAAAGATGATCCAACTAGTCCAGTGAGAAAATCAAACATTTAGCAAAGAAGTGCCCTCTAGTATGTTAATGGAGCTCAGTAGAAGGTGCAGTGGGATTACCAGGAGACCTTTAATCTGGGATGAATGCCTGGTAGTTGTACACATTAGTCCTGCAACCCCAGTGCAGGTTTAGCAGGCACACAGGAGAGAAGAGGAAACAGCATGCTCAAAGGCATGAGTGGGAAATAGTAAGCTATCGCCTCATCACAAGTGCTCCAGAAGAGCTGGATTAATAGAGTGTGGATGGAAGGGTCAGGCAGGACGGGAGGCAGGAGGGCTGCCAGTGAAAGTCTGTTAGGAACTATGTGAAGGAAATGGGACTTGATCATCCAGTGGGAAGGAGGAACAGGATAGGCTTTATGTGTAGGGTAACAGGTGTTGGAGAAGTTTTCCAGCTAAATGGATAAGTTGTTTCATGTCTACACAGAGGAATATGATACAGCAACAGGAGTGGGTGAATTCTTGCTCTTTGCAACAGCATGAATGACATGGTGCTCACAAGCCAGACATTTGAGAGTTCTTACTGTATGTTGGCACTTAAAGTTCAAAGTCGCAAAAACTAATCAGTGGCATAGTAAGTGGGCAGTGACCGGGAGAGGAAACGGCTTCTGGGGAACTGCCTTGATCATCTGTATCTGTGTTCTG